AAGATTAACAAAAATAAGACAAGCACTCCCTTTCAAGGACCATGTGTAGGGTGTTATTTTGTAAGTGAGCAGCATCAGTGATTAAGTGCTTAGACATAACTACTCCTAGGCTGAGTAGAATTATTACTCTGCCATTCTAATGTTACAACACCTCTATGGCCTTTGCAGATTATGAAATGTATTTGATTAGTGGATGCATTAGTCCATTTTGTTGCTGTAATGAAATAGCTGAGTAACATTTGAAAAATGAGGTTTATTTAATTCAATTCATTGGAGTGTAAAAGTTCAACATCATTGCATCATCTCTAGTGAGGACTCCTCCGTTGGCCATATAAAATCACGGTAGAAGGCATCACATAGATAGGGGCACTGTAGACAGTAAGCCAGAAAGCTACTACCCACTCCTTTTAAGAGCACAGCAGCAGTGACCCTCAGGCCCCCACCACTAGGACCAAGAACTTTTAGATCCCACTACTTGTTAACTTTGCCATACCAGGTGCAGGCCAGCCAACGTACAAACCCAGAGGGCAAATGCAGTGGGTCGCAATTTATTGTATTCAGTGGGAAATAAGGAGAATTGTACTTTGAGATTTTGTATAAAATATATTTGAATACAGACACTGAAGAGTCTTGTCCTAGAATATATTGAGAACAATTTAGAAGTCCTTGCTTTAGTGATTTTCTCAATATTTGTTAAATTTTTTGGTTTGGTAAATTAAAAAATTCTTCAATAATTATTTTGTTATATTTTATTTATTAATATTTTATAAGTATGAGCGTTTGCCTGCATGTAAGGTGCACCACATGCATGCAATGTCCACAGACACCAGAAGAGGGGCATCAGATTCTCTGGAACTGGAGTTACAAAGAATTGCCTGCCTGCTTGTGGGTGTTGGGAAACAAACTCTAGTCTTCTGAAAGAGCCGCCAATGCTCTTATACCTTGAGCCATCTTTACACCCCTTACTGTAAGTTTTCAGAAGAAAGGAATTTGAAGTAAACAAAGGTCACTATCTAGTGACAAAATACTTTATTTTAAATTCCCTGGGATATTTGTAAGAAAATTGACTTATACACAGTATTTGTTGCTATTTCAATTTACTTTAGATAGTAATAAATACAGGAAGACCAGAAGTTGCTGTAAAATCGGTGTTTACTTTAGAAGATGGGAGTTATTTTAAGAACTCAGATAACTTGCCTTTATCCTTGCATCTATATCCTTTATAAGGATGAATTTTGCATTTAGATCAAATTACTTTCAATTCCAAGTTTCTTATGAATATATGAAATGTGAAGCAAAGCTGTTTTGATAGTTCCATTAACAAAAGAATTTCATAAATACCAATGCAATGCAAGTTTGATGATTATGTCATCAGGTAATTTGCATGGACTACGAAGAAAATTAATTCTAATAAATATGATATGGTACAGTTTAAGTAAACTATGAAAAGATTGAGATGAAATATCTGATGTAAATTTTTAGTGTTAATATAAATTTAATGATCAAAACTGAAAATGACATTTGAGATGATAATATCAATATGATTTTTGGTAGGGCATAGTATGAAAAGGAATTAGATACAAATTGTTAACTGAAATTCCCAGAATAAAAGCTCCATCTATATTAAATAATCTGCAATTGAAGGACTGCTGGTATTGTAGAAAGCTCAAATGTTGCAGGTCCAAAGACAAACTATCTTGAGCTGCCTTAGCCCCCAAATAACTATTTATCCCCTATTTCTGTGTTTGACTAAACATCCTTGTGACGAGTAGCACATCCTTTTGGAGAGTATAAACAGACCACTAGTTTCCACCAATTCAAAAGCAAAGAATATCACCAGCTAACATTGGAGGCCAGTAACAGTGTTCTCTGCACTTTACTGTAGCACACCTTCTCATGATTCTATCAATTATTTGAAAAATGTCTTTATGATTTTCTTTCTTCTATTATGATTAAAAACATGCTGAAACTATTACCACTTTGAGACACAGTATTCAGAGCAACCAGAATCTGTTTTCCTGGGCCATGGTCCACTCATATTTTCCTTCAGAACAAAATATCTCTTATACCTCTTGAGGTGAGAGGTATTTTTTATATCAACAAAATGTACTTAGAATTGATTACTGTCCTAAT